GGGGTACCCTTAGGTCCTCAAGCCCTACTATTAGAGGGTACCCTTAGGTCCTCAAGCCCTACTATTGGGGGTACCCTTAGGTCCTCCACTCCTACTATTAGGGGTACTCTTAGGTCCTCATGCCCTTCTATTGGGGGTACCTTTAGGTGCTCAAGACCTACCAGTAGGGGGTACCCTAAGGTCCTCAGGTTCTACTATTAGGGGTACCCTTGGGTCGTCAAACCCTACTATTAGGGGATACACTTAGGTTCTCCAGTCCTACTATTGGGGACCCTTAGGTCCTCCAGTCCTACTATTGGGGGTACCTTTAGGTCCTCAAGCCCTACTATTAGGGGGTACCCTTTGATCCTCCAGTCCTACTGTTCATGGGACCCTTAGGTCCTCAAGGCCTACTATTAGGGGGTACTCTTCAGGCCTCCAGTACTACAATTGAGTCGGACCCTTGGGTCCTCAAGTCCTACTATAGGGAGGTACACTTGGGTCTGCAAGTCCTACTATTGGGGGTACCCTTAGTGCCTGAAGCCCTAGTATTGGGAGGTACCCTGGGGTCCTCAAGTCCTAGGATTGGGATACCCGCCAATAGTAGGACTAGAGAACCTACGGGTACCACGCAATAGTAGTGCTGGAGGACTCAAGGGTACCCTCTACTAGTAGGATTTGAACGCCTAAGGGTACCCCAATTGTAGGAGTGGAGGACCTGGGAAAATGACATCTCGTCTCACCCCATTTTTACGACCTCCTCGTGAATTAGTGTGCTTACGATCCCCGAACTTGAAGAAAATGTCATGGTGTTCGGAATGGAGTTCGTAAATGAAATACAACAGAAATACAGGGTGTTCGGAATGAAGCCTGTGCAGGAGTTCAGAATCAATTTTTACAATAGCTTTTTCAACGATTATAACCATTGAAAAAGCTATTTTCAGAATTGATTCTGAACTCCATATAAATTTTTCTCTTTACGACCATAAAAATTTGGCTGAAGATCGGAATCCGAGTGTCCGGATGGTCGTAATGACGAAGACATGAGGGTCGTAATAAAAAAAACGACACAATTGTCGTAAGTATGTTAAGTTTTGTTCACGTGTGAGAGAATATGAAGTGATATGCTAGTCTCGCAACCTAAAATCATGTATAGAGAACGCTTCGATGAATTCAAGCAATCAAGCTTGTGCTTCTGTTCACTATTATAATTCTAGTGTTAGTTACTATTCTCCTAATTCCTTCAATACACTCTATTACAAATGTCAGTTTTATTGAAAGAAAAGATATACATGTTTATTCATAACTCTAGTGTTAATGTACATCATCGCTCCATTCATGCTTTGATGGATGTCTACGCTTCTTGACTCTAGCTATTTGTTTATTCTTCGATGTTGTAGCAGTGAGACATTGTTGAGAAGACGATGTGGAAGAGGACAACGAAGTAAAGTTAGACTGCAACAAGAAATAGATTCTATTCATTTGAATCATTTTCTAGAAATAAGCAATAAAAGAAAACCAACCCACTTCTTTATCATAGTATATTTTCCAAATGTATACTTTCACTTCTCTATGCAGGGTCAGTCTGATTTATCTTTACTGGCCATTTACTTGTGTAGCCAATCATATTTGAAAGTAGACACTGTCCTTTTTTACTTTATAGTATATTTTATTTTCAACTGGACTGTTGACACAACTTGGTATCATGAATCGATTAAAAGACGAATATTAGAAACAACTTCTAAAACTGGAGCATAGAGAGTATAGGTAAAGAAAGAATAATCTCCTACACTCTAAGAAAAATCCGTCGTGTAGGAAACCGTTAATAGGTTTCCGAACTTGTTACTATCGGAAACCTTTTAAGGGTTTTCGAGAAAAGGTTTCCGAGCACTCGGAAACCCTACATTAGCATATTTTACTACCACAACACACCAACCATCGGAAACGCATTAACTGTTCCCGAGCAGGTTCCAGAACAAGTCGATACCTTACTTCGGTCAATTAAAATAACCCTTACATGAGCCACGAAAGCCCTCACACTCTCAGCCCACGCATGAATATTAATGCAATTTCATTACAGACCTAAATAAAGAAAAAAGGATCAGATTGAATTTTATTGAAATCAATTGTCTTACCAAAAATTGTAATCGATATTCATATAGACCTAAATAAACAAAAACAAATTAGATTTAAGTTTATATTAATCAGCTGACTTCCCAGAAATTTTGGTGGTTATTCACATAGACCTAAATAAACAAAAAAGAATCAGCTTGAAGTTTATATAAATCAGTTGACGTACCAGAATTCTTCATGGACATTCATATAGACCTAAATGAAGAAAAAACAATCAGATTTACTTTTATTGAAATCAGTTGACTTACCCAAATTATCAATGGACATTCACATACACCTAAATAAACAAAAAACTAGATTTATAAAGTTGATATAAATCAGCTGATTTACCCGACATTTTAATGGTTATTCATATAGACCTAAATAAACAAAAACAAATTAGATTTGAGTTTATATAAATCAATTGACTTACCAGAAATTGTAATCGATATTCATATACACCTAAAGAAACAAAAAGAAATTAACTTTAGGTTTATATAAATCAATTGACTTACCAGAATTATTGATGGACACTCATATAGACCTAAATGAAGAAAAAAGAATTAGCTTTAAGTTGATATAAATCAGCTGACTTACCAGAATTAGTAATCGACATTCAATGTAGACCTAAATCAGGGGTGGCATTTCTCACTTTTTAAATGGGTTTACAAAAGTCAAAATGGGGTACATTTGTGGTACATTCCAATTTAAAAAGGGGTACATCAATGGTGTACATGGTTTTACTCCTGAAGTAACGTATTTAATTGAGAAACCTGCTGAAACGACACTGCTTTTGTAGAGAACAGAATCATATTTCACTGTTGTTTTTTAATTAGATAGGCTTAGCTGTTTACACTGTTTCAATTAGCTTTGTGTTAATTGATTGTTGAGTTTGAAATTGGAAAATAACATTCGGAACCATCTATAAAAGACGTAAAGCGAACTGAGGCTATCAGTGAAATGCAGACATACGAAGAATCATCGTGAATTTTTGCAATTTTTCTGCATCGATTTTCATGGCGCTTTCATGCTTCGCTTGTTTTTGTTTCAATAGAATTTAGGCTTCAAAAAACTCTAGATTAAATAGCATTTGCAGCTAGCTATATGATAAAGTGGGTAGATTTTTGAGGGTCATGAAAAATAAAATTGTTCAATCTATATTTTCCCTATTTCATACTCTTTAGAATTTGATATGC